TGTATATTCTGTTGTTAATGGGTGGAAGTATTGCAAAATTTCATCTTCCTAAGTGCATAAATGGAGGAGTTATAACGAAAATTCTCATAACTGAACAATCAGTTGTATGGGAGATATATGTTATAGCGGCCTGATCTTTGTTATTTTCACTGTAAGTATTCTGTTAATAATAAGTGAAAACGGTACGAATTTGTATGTTCCTAGCTGCATAAATGAAGAAGGTATGGAAAAAAATTTCATATCTGAACAATCAGTTGTATGGTGGATATAGGCTATAGCCACCCGATCTTCGCCATTTTCACTCAAAGTATTCTTTTGATAATGAGTGACAACAGTGCAAAATTGCATGTGCTACTTAAATGGAGGAGTTATATCGAAAAATCTTATATCTGAACAATCAGTTGTATGAGAGCTATAGGTTATAGTGACCCGATCTTTGTAATTTTCACTCTAAGTTTTCTGTTGATAATGGGTGGAAGTATTGTAAAATTTCATGTTCCCAGCTGCATAAATGGAGAAGTTATAACGAAAAATCTCATATCTGAACAATCAGTTGTATGGGAGCTATATGTTATAGTGGTCCGATTCTTCCGGTTCGGACAAATGATTAATACATTATAAAAATACATCCACCTACCAAATTTGATCTGGATATCTCGAAAACTGAGAGACTAGATTGCATACAAACAGTCGGACAGACAGACAGACAGACAGACGGGCATGGCTAAATCGACTCAGCTCGCCGTTCTGATCAGTTAAGTATACATTTTAATGGTACTTATAAACATCGGACCAAAGTTATAATACCATTTCATGCTCATGAAAAGTATAAAAATGGATCATGAAGCGCGTTGTAGGATATGCTGAAATTTGCTAATGGTGGTACGTCACCGTACCTTGTCCTTTAAGACTAAAAAAAATGAGAACTTGAGCATTTCATCACCATCAACCTTCAGCTCTACGGATTGTGCCACAAAACTATACCTATTTCTATTATAACTATATAATACGCGAAGGCATTTTTTGTGCAGCCTAAAACATCTGCCCCGTTTGCTCGATTTTAAAAATTGGGGTGTCAAATTAAAGCGCTTGACCTGTAGATGTGCAATAAGGTTTTATTTTTTCGAAAAGGGTTGCCACCTGTTAAATAATTAAACTCAAGTTATTTACTAATCAATGCCCTCAGCTCCGCACCGTCCGTTTGATTTTTAAAAGTGAGGTACTAAATTAAAGGGCTTAGGGTGTGGATGTTCAAAAAGGTTTTACTTTTTCGAAAAAAGTTGCCACCTGTTAAGAAATTAAGTTCAAAATAATACGCGAAGGCATTTTTTGTTCCGCATAAAAGATCTGCACCGTTCGTTCGATTTTCAAAAATGGGGTGCAAAATTAAAGCGCTTGGCCTGCAGATGTGTAAACTGGTTTTATTTTTTCGAAAGGAGTTGCCACCTGATAAAAAATCGCATTCAAATAATTTAATAATCAATGCCATCAGATCCACACCGTTCGTTCGATTTTCAAAAGTGAGGTGTCAAATCAAAGGGCTCTGACTTTAGGTGTGCAATAAGGTTTAACTTTTTCGAAAAGAGTTGCACCCTTTTAAAAAATTACGTTCAAATTATTTAAAAAGCTAAACCAATTACTATAAAATGGGCATAAATGGAAATAGTTTTGAAAATCTTTGTTTCTTAAGTTAACTTTATGAGGGTTGCCACCTGTTAAAAAATCAAATTCAATTTGAATTAAGGGGATTAGGTTAAAGTTTAAGTACGTAGCAGTTTGTAAACATTTTGAAGAGGGTTGCCACCTGTTTGAAAAGTCGAATTTATATGAAGTATAAAAATATGGACGTCAAGCGAATGAATCTTAAGAGATCTTTAGTTTGAACGTGTAGAATATTTTTAAAGTGTTTGAATAGGGCTGCCACCTTTTAAAATTAAATTCAAATTATTTAAATAGTTAAACCAATATTTACCATTTGGGTACCAATCGCAGTAGTTTAGAAAATACTTTATTTCTTAACTGCATGTAGGAGGGTTGCCACCTGTTTAAACAATCAAATTCAAGTTGAATTA